GAACTCTGCGTTCCTGTTCGCCGTGTGCCTGTGAAATCTGCGTTCCCGTTCGCCGTATGCTTGTGAACTCTGCGCCTTGAACCACATTTTTTTGGAAAGCTGTGTTAAATTTCACTTGCCACACCCAGGCCTGTTTACTGCCAGACCTGTTGAAACCAGAAATCCCTTAAATAGGAGCTGTCTGACAAAGTGAAGCCTTCTAAAAGATCTCAAGAAGCAACCCATCATACCGTAATCTAAAGAAATTCAAGAACAGATGTGAAACAAATTAGTTGACAAGCATCAATCTGGAAAGGGTTACAAAGCCATTTCTAAGGCTTTGGGACTCCAGCAAACTGGGGGATGAGCTATAATCCACAAATGAAGAAAACTTGGAACAGTGGTGAACCTTTTCAGGATTGGCCGGTCTACAAAAATTACTCCAAGAGCACAATGACAACTCATCCAGGAGGTCATAAAAGAACCCAGAACAACATCTGAAGAACTGCAGGCCTTACTTGCCTCAGTTAAGGCCAGTGTTCCTGATGCAAATAAGAAAGATACTTGCCAAAAATGGCATCCATGGAAGTGTTCCAGGGTGAAAGCCATTGCTGCCCAAAAAGAACACAAAGGCTCGTCTCACATTTGCCAAAAAAAAATCTTGATTATCCCTAAGATTTTTATCAAATATTCTGTGGACTGATGAGACAAAAATTTAACTTTTTGGAAGGTGTGCCCCCCATTACATCTGGCATAAAACTACCGTGTTTCCCTGAAAATAAGACACTGTCTTATATTTTTTTTTTGGTTCAAAAAAACACACTAGGTCTTATTTCGGGGTAGGTCTTATTTTTTAAATGTCCAGGTGTGGACAGGGGGTGCAGAGGTGAGCTGCAGGCAGTTGTGGATGAGGGTTACTATGGAGAGGGCCGGTTGATGACCGTTGTGTGCTGCAGTCAGGTGTTGTAGGGGTGACTTGACAGGTGAGTTTCAGACAGGGTGCAGATATGAGCCACAGACAGGGTGAAGGGGTGAGTTGCATACGGGGAATGCAGAGGTGAGCTGTGGCCAGGGGGTGCAGAGCTGAGCTGTGGCTGGGGGGTGCAAAGGTGGGTTGCAACTCGGCTCACCTCTGCACCCCCCCCCCCCCCCCCCCCAGCCGCAGCTCACCCATGCACCCTGTCTGCACTCACCTGACTCAATTTACCTCTGCAACACCTGACTGCAGCTCACCTTTGCACATGCCCCTCCCCCTCCACTGCCCTCATATGGTTAGCTAGTTTTGCAAAACACAGCTGTCAGCAGCCGGCCCCTCTCTATAGTAACTCCCGTATCGGGTCCTATGTTCCCACAAAGTGCACCAAGCGCACTTACTCACCGCTCCGCCTCTTCCCCACTGGCCGGTGATCACCCCTGGGGCGTCGGCTTCAATGCATTAGGCTGCAGGAGGAGATGCCCCACCCCTAAACACACTGCATACTGCACCCGCAGATATCTGTTCCTTCCCTGTCCCACAGTGAGTACAGAGGTAGGGAGGTAATGTGGGAGCGGATGGTGCTGTCACTTCAGCTGCGCTTCTGTGTTTATAAGAGACAGTAGATATGGGTGTGCGCAAGGCCAGTGGTGGAATGGTGTTCCAGCTGAAAAAAGCCCTGATCACAACTAGGTCTTATTTTCAGGATAGGTCTTATACTTTAGCAATTCCAAAGATAGCACTAGGTCTTATTTTTGGAGTAGGTCTTATTTTCGGGGAAACCGAGTAACACAACATTTGATAAAAAGAACATCATGCCAGCAGTCAAATGTGGTGGTGGTTGTGTGATGGTCTGGAGTTTCTTTGCAGCTTCAGGAACTGGACGACTTGCCATAATTGATGGAACCATGAATTCTGTGCTCTACCAGAAAATCCTGAAGGAGAATGTCTGGCAATCAGTTCATGACCTCAAGCTCAAGCACACTTGAGTTATGCAGGGGGTTTGGGGTCAATTACTTTTTCACATAGGGCCAGGCAGGTTTGAACAGTTTTTTTCCCGTTAATAAATGAAGTCATCATTTAAAATCTGCATTTTGTATTTACTCGGGTTATCTTTATGTAATATTTAAAATTGATGATCTGAATCACTTAAGTGTGACAAATATGCAAAAAAAAAAAAAAATCAGGAAGGAAGCAAATACTTTTTGATAGCACTATACGTTCCTTCCCTTCCTGGCAGTGGGAAAAGTGAATAGAATTGTCGAATGCATCAATATAGAGGTCACCTGCAGAAGGAAGGAGGTCCTATTTCCAATGTATAGATCTTAACTAGATCTCATTTAGAGTACTGTGTCCAGTTCTGGAAACTTCACTTACAAACTGATTTTGGTGAGATAAAGAGTCCAGATATAGGCAACTAAATGGTGGAAGATCTGAGAGATAAACATATAAGTAGAGACTGTGCACTTCAAGTGCAGTTGCTCCAAATCTTAGTAGATGAGGGAAAGCTCTGCTGATTTCTATCATCCAATAATGTGCAAGCAAAAATGCTGTTCTTTTATTTTCCTTGCATGTGATTTGCTAAGCTCTGGAGAAACTGCACTTGCAATGCACAGTATATTTGCATTTAGTAAAGCAACCCGATATGTACAGTTTGCAGGAAAGAAGGGCAGGGGGAGACGTGACTGAAACCTTTAAATACATCAAGGGGATGAATAAGAAAAAAACTATAAGAAAAAAAAAAAAATGGAACGTCATTCTAGGTTTCTGTGTTACCTCAATGTGCTTCTTCCCTCCCTTCCTACCTGGCCACTTCTCCTACAGTCACAGTGACAGATGCGTGGCCAAGGAGTTTTGTACTAGGGGTGGGTGGAGCCTGATGAGGAACTGAGAAACTAGTTCCTCATGTGGGCATCAATGCTGTTGTTTGACAGAGCATGGCACTTGGTGGGTTTGAAAGCCCCTATTGGATTGGATAGCAGTTTTCCATCAGACTCGGGTAGTTCTTAAAGTAACTACCTCCAAAAAAATTTTCCCCTAGGACTTTACTGAGTTCCCTCAACTGACTAACTTTCATCTAAACCGACCGTACACTGTGTGCAGTTGTTTGTATGTACATAACTGTGGTAGGAATATTCGACTAGTTAATTCCTTAGAAAGAAATGATGTGTTTGTTCTCTGTAAAAAAAAAAAACTGTTGGGAAAAAAACATCCAGATAAATATTATAAATAAGAAACACTTGTGGATATTTTTAAATGTCTCTCCATTGAGGGAAAATAATTATAAGTGGTTCTCTGTAGCCAAGGAACATAAGAATAGACCTGGTCTTACCATGCTTTGGGTTATGGTAGGTCAATAACTGCATGGTTGGGCAATGTGCTCTTTAAATATAAGTGTGGTCCAATTTCTGGTCCTATCTTATTTGTAGCCATTATCTGGAGAAACAAGAGAGCTCTGAGAAAGTTTACCATGGAAACTTCTCTAATAAGATCCATGATTGTTTTACATCTAAATTGCTCAAAAATAGAAACTACTGGAAAATTACGAATTATGTGTGGTGAGCATAAACAAGAGAAAGTAAATGCAATCTGAGAAAGGAATGTTAATGGATTCAGGCTAAATACATTTTTTTTTTTGGTTTCTCCGTCCCCTTCAATCTTCTGTGCATTGAACCAACCACCTCTACTTCCCGAACATGTTCCAAAAGCGCACAATGCCCCTTTCTGACCATACAGCCTGCAGCGCTACCAGCCACACCGATCTGAACTGTTTAATTTTGTTTCCCTGTGTGCTTCTGTCTCCTTTAATCTGTAGGTGAAGCAGTCTTTATTTTATTATGGCCGGATTTGCAATCATGTTAAACCTCAGAAACGTCCCTGTTTGCTGATCACAGTAGATAAGGGAGATTTGTACATTTTCCAGCTGCTCGAGGAGAAAACATCTGCAGTCACCACAGAGCAGGAGATTGCATTCTTAAAGGGCTGGCCAACCCTAAAGGGGACTTTGAAGTGGTAACTGTGAAATAGGAAGAGATGCATTAACCTTTCTGTGTTTGAGAGCACATCCAAGATTGTTTATTCCCAGTAGCTTGCTGCACCCTCTAGAGCAGTATTAGCGCATTGCTTTGCGATCCTATAAATCAAACTTGACAAATCTAAATGAGACAGTGGGCTGAACAGATTACAGTTAAAGCCCAACTCCGGGCAACAAAGTTTTCCCTTGTAGTGGGGCTGTGCCTGCACTACACTAGTTACCTGCTTGTTTTGTTGTCTAGGGGCAGGAGAAAGATACAATTACCTTACCTGATCATCCCTGCACAAGACCAGCCTTTGCTGTTTCTTCTCCCCCCTGCTGTTTAGTGGTCTTGAGCAGTGGACTGTTCCTGACGTCATCTAACCTGCTCTGGACGTGAGGATGTCAGGAACAGTCCACTGTTGGATCGTGGAGGAGAGCTGCTTGCTATCTCAGCCAATGAGTAGGGAGAGTCCCTGGAGAGCCCAGGCTCTTGTGCACATCGCTGGATCCAGAGCGTTTTACCATCATGCATAGAATGCTTAAAGGTAAAAAATACTTGAGCCCATACAACCACTTTAATGCAGAGAATGCATTGAGGTAAAAACCCTTCTACCTTTACAAACACTTTAAACCCTTTAATCCCTTCTTAGTGGTAACTAAGAGCCCGTTCAAACATACACTGTAAAATGCACATTAACTGTGTCCCAACACACCAATGCAGTACAGGAAAATTAAACTGAACTACAACACACTGCAACCACTTATTTATTGTGGTGCTCTGCATTGAGCAAAATGGTTCAGGTACATTTTATCAGCTGTCCAATTTTGCTGCCATCATATTCAGAATGATTCTTGTAACACAGTGTATATTGGTCCATAGAAGGGACTTCTTTGTAGAGATTTACTCTAATTTATTTTTTGTTTTATCTAGTACAGGAAGTGAAGGGAAATCTCCCCAACAGGACATGACCGCAAAAGAAAACCAAACATGTTCCTGATTCTTTAAAATTTTTCTGTCTTTTGTTTTCCCAGTTAACAGAAGATGAAATTGCTACAATACTTAAATCTACACTGAAGGGGCTTGAATACTTACATTTCATGAGGAAGATCCACAGAGATATAAAAGCAGGGAATATTTTGCTGAACACAGAGGGTCACGCCAAGCTGGCAGATTTCGGAGTGGCTGGCCAGCTAACAGTAAGTGCTGAACTTGCATTGCTCTTCGGCTGACATGTTGTTTAGCATTGCTCTATACTCTCATATTTTTTTCAGGACACAATGGCAAAGCGCAATACAGTAATAGGAACTCCATTTTGGATGGCTCCTGAAGTGATTCAAGAGATTGGGTATAACTGTGTGGCAGATATCTGGTCACTGGGGATTACATCTATAGAGATGGCTGAAGGGAAGCCTCCATATGCAGACATACATCCAATGAGGGTAAGGCCAGTTTCTGTGTTTGTTAGTAGATTTTACTTTCTGTGAATATCATAGACCAGAATTTGTTAAATTCATAAGGCATGATTTTTTAAATCGAGTCCAAAGTTGTAAATGTCTTTTTTGTTTAATGCTCGCTCTAATTCATTTGCCTTAAAACATATCCAAACCTAAACATTAAAATCTAATATATTGCTGCTTACTAGACCTTAGCTGTGCATTCGTTTTCACTGTTCAGGATGAGAACATTTTCAGCAGTTTCAGAAAATACCTGCTGATCTCACCAAATGCAATGTCCTTTTCACTTCCTGTGAGTTGAAAGGCAAGCACATTCTCTTTTTATTGTGTAATCCACCAAGAAAGATTAAAGTAGCCACAGGATCTAAGACCTGGTAAGCTGCGTTAGGTTATATTTTAGATTTGGGTTTAGTATGATTTTAAAGCAGTTTTACTCCTTCAGAAAGTCAAAAAAATGTCTGCATGTTTCTCTACTCTTTTGTAAAGTGGAAGTAACTTCTGCCATTTAAAAAAAAAAAAATAAATATATTATTGGACCACAGGAGTTGTTAGCCGTAACGTGCTAGTATGCACATTATTTTAACACATTACAGCAGACTTGCTTGGTTGGCCTGGCCATGATGACATCACTTCCACGAACAGGAGTCACATCATCACAGACAGAGCATTGCTGTAAATGTACACTGAGCTGTACATGCAGCCATAACATTAAGACTACTGATGGGTAATGTGAATAACATTTATTATCTCGTGACAATGATACCCGAAAGTGGGTGGAATATATTAGACAACAAGTGAACATGTTGTCTTTGAAGTTGAAGTGTTAAAAGCTGAAAGAATGGTTAATTGTAAGGATCCACAGCCAAAAGTGCCTACAATGGACATGTGAGCATCAGAACTGAACCATGGAGCAATGGAAGAAGGTGTCTGAGGTGTTGACTTGGCCCCCAAATTCTTTGGATCGTGCATATGTGGGACATGCTGTTTGTTGACAAAAGGGGGACCTACTTCATATTAGGTGGGTGGTGATATTAGGATGGGTTGAAATGATGTTATGACTGACCCATATAAATGCTGACAGGTAAGGTGGGGGGATTATGAGAGAAAAGACCAATAGGCTCTCTTTCACTGTACAGGTATACCTAAAAGTATGGAGGTAGAATGAAAAGTACTGTGTAAAATTTTTATTGGCCATTCTTATGAATTTTTTATTATTATTTATTTTTTATTTAATGGCTGCATGTAGTTAATGCTATGTATTTATTCAGTTACTTTATTTCTAATGCTTTTATATTTGACAGCACATAGGAGAATTGTCGTTTGTGCTGAGACAAGCTATAACACTGCCAGGGGTGCTAACAATGTCTACATTTTAGACTCCGTGGTTGTAAATCTCAGGCATAAAATCGTAAAAAAAAAGCATATCCCGCTATAGTGTGTACTTGTCTCAATCCAGAACAGTAAGTGTCATTTCTGTCTGTTGCTTGGTTCCTCTGCTACCTGCATGAGTCCATTTTTACAAGTTTTCCTGACACCAAGAGAAAAATGGTAACAGGGGAGGGACCTCCAGCAGATCGACAGCCTCAGTTCTGTTCCTGAGTGCTGTTTGGAGGGGGGTGTGTCTCTGCCCTCCAATCAGGACTCAGAGTTCTCCTCGCTGAGCTCCGCTGGGTATAATTTCAGTTCTCAGCCACTTGTTTTCTGAACTCTTAGACAAGATTTATAAATTCAGCACTTTGAACGGACTGCGGAGAGACAGGTGTAATCTATGTAGGATTTATTTGTTTCATCTCTGTGTATCCCTTGAGGCCAGTCCCTTCACTGGGTATATGTAAAGTTTTACAACCACTTTAAGTTTTATTTTTTTTTCCCCACAAAATCTATTGCTGCAACTGCTCAAGCAACCCTGACTAGTTTTTTTTTTTTTTTCCCCCAGTGTCCTTTCACTGGACAGCCACATGTAACTGGAGAAAATTCTTAATGAAGGCATTTGAAATAAACAGGGAAATATACATTTCTGAATGTAATCATTACAAGTATTAATCACATCAATGAAAACACAATAGTTTTGCAACAGCTGCCCTTTAAAAGGAATCCTAAATGAAACAGTTTTATCAATTTTTTTTTTTTTTTAAACTTCCATTTAGCTTTATTATTTATATAGTGCTGGCGTATTACACTGTGCTTTGCTGAGTACATAAAACCGCTCACATCAGTCACAGACACCTGAAGGTGCTTCCAATCTTTTCTCCCTGACTAAGGTAAAAGCCAGCTGGTAGAGCCATCAGAGATCCTAATAGGATTGTTTTCTTTTTTTAAATCTTTTTTTTTTTTTTCCCATTGTAATGTTCAGAGTTCAGAAGGCTATGCGCTTGTGCGGAAAACAGTCCAAGCAGGAAATCGTAACCCAAGGATAAAAATAAAACAAAACCAAACAAATATAGGCCATTTGGGGTGGGGAAGGGGAACACTCTACATAATCAGCAGTTGCTCGATTGTATAAAATGGAAAATCTGCTCACTGAGCGGCCTGTATTGATTACAGATTAATTATTTGATTGCCTGAGCTTGATTTTCAGTGTAATATTTTCAAGCTTAATGTAATCATCCGCTGCACAGCTGGAATCACTCAAAGCTCTTAATTTCATTTAGTTGCATTGGTTACCAAAAAGGTAAGGGGTAATTTTCTGAGTTTTAGGAGGTAATGACAATATTCATGAGATTAGAGTACTTTTTAATACTGATAATCGGATAAGCTGCGAATAGAGGACTGCACTCATGATGTCACAATTACCGTAAAAGTGATCTTCTAGAGTGCCACGTCAAAGGCTCAGTAAAATTGAGGAGTTAGAATAGAAATTCCTGATATTTGATCTGATATTCCGATAACTGCGGTCTGTACTAGTTGGTGGGTAAGGTTTTTGGGCCTCAACCTTGGACAGTACATGTACCTGAACACCCATTTCTAAAGGTGAAAGCAAAGTGCCCCATTTCTGAGTCTTTATAGATCCTGATCGGATTGTTTCCTTCCATAAGAAGGAAGAAAGAAGAAACAAACTTACAGATACCCATTTGTTATGATCATAGGTATAGGCTTGTGTTTTGCACATAAAGTATTGATGGCCAGTCTTGATTAGTTTTGAAGATAAAAAGTAGATTGGTGGTAGAGGGCATGTCTTTTACTAGAAAGATCTGCAATTACAAGGTTTCCCATTTTTTTCATCAGGCATTAGGAAGTATGCCATAATTATACTGAGTAGTATGGGTGCTGAGAATAGGTCATAGTAATAGAGCTTGATATTTTTCATCTCTCTCTGTTCCTCAACCTTTTTTCAGTCAAGTCACCCTTTAAAATTATGGACAGCTTTGAGGCAAACCATTCTAAAATGTAAAAAAAACTATTCTAATAGTTTTTTTTTTTTTTTTATACAATGCATCAACATTCATACATGTAGAACATTTAGAGGTAATTTATTCTTCCAAAGCAAATACACTTTTGCACACTGGTACTGATTAGTATTTCAGTGTTTCTCTTCTCCCTCAATTTTTCTCCATCACAGAGCTAATGTGACCCAGTACTGACGGAGAGGGACAGGGGGTGGTTAAACAAGGATGCTGTGCAGGAAACTGACATCATTCTTATCAACTGTCATTGGTTGTCAGGACACCAGTGGCTAGAAGGTTGTAATGGTGCACAATGAAAACCTGTGGCTTTGTTTAACTAAAAGGCAGGCTTATTCCACCCACTGGCTTGTATGCAAGTTTTGTGCAATTTTTAGACATTTTGCCAAAGCACCCCTGAAGAAACCTCCAGGCACCCTGGTTGAAAAGGGCTGCTCTAGAACACACTGGAGGAAAGCTAAAATAATGTTCCTTGCATGCACATAGGGAAGTTTATTCATCCTTTAGTTTGCGCAAAACTGAGAATTCGGTCGTGCTCTGCCTTCTGAGACAGAAATTCCTCATGTACGCTTTGAAGAGAGAATTTATTCATACAGTGGGGAAAATAATTATTTGATCCCCTGCAGATTTTGTAAGTTTGCCCACTTAGAAAGAGATGAAGGGTCTATAATTTTTATCATGGGTGTATTTTAAATGATAGAAACAGAATATCAACCATAAATCCAGAAGAAACACACGATACAAATGTTATAAAGTGAGTTGCAGTTCAGTGGGTAAAATAAGTATTTGATCACCAAGCAAAACATGATTTAGTACTTGGTGGAGAAACTCTTGTTGGCAAGAACAGAGGTAAGACGATTCTTGTAGTTGGCTACCAGATTTGCACACATCTCAGGAGGGATTTTGGTCCACTCTTCTTTACAGATCTTCTCTAAATCTTTAAGGTTTCTTGGCTGTGTCTTGGCATTACAAACTTTCATCTCCCTCCATACATTTTCTATAGGATTAAGGTCTGGAGACTGGCTAGCCCACTCCATAACCTTAATGTGCTCCTTCTTGAGCCACTCCTTTGTTGCCTTGACGGTACGTTTTGGGTCATTGTTATGCTGGAAGACCCATCAATGACCCATCTTTTGTGTTCTGGCTGAGGGAATGTTCCCATACAAGATTTTACAATACATGTCCCTGTCCATTAGCCCCTCAATGCGGCAAAGTCGGCCTGTACCTTTAACAGAGAAACAGCCCCAAAGCATAATGTTTCCACCTCCATGCTCTTAACTGTAGGGATGGTGTTCTTAGGGTCATAGTCAGCATTTTTCTTCCTTGCAAGATAAGTTAATGCCAAAGAGCTCAATTGTGGTCTCATTGGACCATGGCACTTTCTCCCAATCCTTCTCTGAATCATTTAAATGTTCACTGGCAAACTTCAAATGGGCCTGTTTATGTGCCTTCTTGAGGAGGGGGACTTTGCGGGCGCTGCAGCATTTCAAAACATGGCGGTGTATTATGTTTACAATGGTTTGGTGATTGTGGTCCCATTTGCTTTGAGATTACTCAAGCTCCCCCTGTGTAGTTCTG